TTGCGTTTTTCCCAGTTAATTCACATGTATGCAAGTCGTTATTTTGTAATAATGTAGTAAGTATATGTCACAATAGTTCATTGTTATAATAAACTGCATTAAATAGATGTTTAATATTCAAGATCTCATATTTTTTTATAGATCCCAGTCTTGATGATAAGTACCTACGCATTACTTTACAGCTCTTTAAAAGATATTTTCCAGAACTTTCTAGACATTTTCTTTTACGTTAATACGAATAAATATCGTCATAAATGGTTATAAGTCAAATATAATTATGATTTACAACTTGTTGGTACTTTAGGTAAATGAGATGCTTGCGGCGACGGACGACGACATCGATATATATTTGATATCATACTTCGCAGACGATTTTGAACGCTATAGGCTGTGTTATAGGTCATGTTTTTCAGAAAGTAAATTATTTTATTACTTCTACTTCGACTAATAAGAAATCTATTAAAATTATTTAGTAAAGTACTATAAATCATTACGTTATTCACATGGCTTATTTGTTGATCTGTATTTACCCAAATTTTGGTAGTTGTACCTATTAATTTCCGGTATAAAAATAGCATGCTTAGCAACAAACATCAGACAAATTGGAATCAATCTAGTAATTCTAGGTTCAATGACAAAACTATCAATAATAAAAATAACAAATACTACGAGTAAAAACTAAAATATCAAAAAACCGGCTTCTCATAGAAAATCGGCGTGAAACAACCACATCGTTGTAATTCGCCGTGGAAGTGACGGAAACTCTATTCATGCCCTTCCCCATCCCTCCCCAATCCCTAAATCTCCCGAACCCTAATCCCCAAAAGGCTCATAACTCTTCCGTTGTTGCGAAGGTCCATGAGCGGCGCTGATTGCTTACCATTAGGTAATCCGTAGGCTCGTTTGCCGACTACTATAAAAAAGTATTTACACATTCACACGGCGAAACACAACGCTGTGGTTGTTTCACGTCGGGTTTCTGTGAAGCCGTGGTATCACTCCAGTGTAGCCGACTGATTCGAGCTGAAGCTTGACTCTCCCACACTTTTTTTATATGGGTCACAAAATGTATTCCGTTCAATTTATAATAAACTTTATTGGCAATTAATTTAATATGTCACTGTATTTAACTATCGTAGTTGATTAAACAGCTCGTTACATTACGTATTCATCAAGTTTAAACTGTCAATATTTAACTACAGATTTGTGTCGGATTAAATATGGTCAAATATGTATATACTGAACAATTATAAATGTTATTTATGTATACGGAACCGTGCTATCCCTTTGGGACATAACAACCTGGTTGTTACGCACCTGGACATGCTTCTCGTGAATGAGGGTCCAGATTTGAAACCTAGCTAGTACCAATGTGACTTTTTCCGAGTGACTTGTACTTTGTTAGATTATTTGGGCAACATCGGCACACTGAAGAAAACAACGCGATAAAACCTGGAGTTAACTATTTGAAATCACCGATGCACCTTGAGTAAGCGCTTTACAAGCCTTCTCCGGGTAAAAGGACTTCTGTTCAGCAGTGGGCATTTTGAACTGAAGCTGGTGATTTGTGATGTGATAAAGTGTGTTACGTTATTTAAAGTTATATAAGGTATGGCATAGTTCAATCATATCAATTTTATTAAGTATTAAGAGGTAGGTATGTGTTTCAGCTATAAGTACGACCACAGGAAGTATTGTAAATATTTAATCAATAGTGGTCATTAATGTTCATGCCATGCTTAATCTCCTTATAAGGTACCACCTTTCTTTTTTTTGTCAGGGGAAAATCATCAAATGACTTCTCCCGCCCAGGTTTAGACGAGAGAGAGTGTCAGACTCTTACTGACTAAAAACCCCCCTGGTTCTTCTCCTGCTCTGGATCGAGGCTGCGGTGTATATGGAACCACCTAAACCACCTTTTTTATGTTATCGTGTTTATATTTCATAGAGTTCAACTAATTACTCATCTGGAAAGATTAACAGAGGACATATTTCCGTCTCTAAATGTAGCTACATACATATCTTTGAGTAATTAAGAGTGATTTTCCCGTGAACTTATAACTAAATAAGAAAGTCATACCAGTATGAAAGTAGTTCATATTCTCACAAACTAAGTACTTATGTACATAATTCGCAGATACGCCTACTTGTCTTACCGGATTTCAAAGGGATATGTGACTCTTTTGTTCTGAAGGATAAGCAAGTAGGCAACGCGGGATTATTCATCGCTGTTCACCGCTCACTTATTTGTAGGCAGGAAATAACGGAATATCTTATATTATTGTATAGACTTGTATAAAAGATTAGCAGTCTTATTTGAATACAGAGCCATCTGCCGAAGATAATTTTTGAATCTTAATATATTTTGAACATTTGACGATACTGATCGATATGTAAATGTAGTTATGATGAGGCTATCGTTCAGACCTATACATGTAGTTGGAGGTATTTATTACTTTTGAAGCGTTGAAATACAATCATTAATCAGCAAATAGTGAAGCTAAATAGGTCGTGAAATCTAAAAAATTAAAATATTTTTGTATAAATCTCTATATCCTCCAAACAATAATAAAAAAATATATAAAGTGGGTTATATTTCTACAAAATTCTATTGATGATGGGCTGGTAAAGGGTTTGGTACAAGGTTATAAGCTTAACCAGTAAAATACCTTAAAATATTTACATTTATGTTAAAAATTGCTGTGTCATTGATACTAACTGGAATATTATAAGTATATACCTATACTCTACGTATCGCTATCGTCAGTCACACACGCCATACGGGCGCACGCCATGCTACATTATTATATTGGTCGGCATCCATTCTCCTACAATATTCTACAAATACAAAGTCTAATAAAAATTTAGAGGGCACAAACTTGACAAACATAGTAGAATAATGAATTTAAACCTAACTTACACACCTCTGCAGACGCAAATAAAAACTACATACGCACACTCACACACATGCATTTTTTGTGAGGGGAAAACCATCAAATGTCTTCTTCCGCCTAGGGCCGGGCGGGAGGGAGTGTCAGACTCTTGACCAAAAACCCCCCGTTCCTTCTCCTGTTCTGGGCCGAGGTCGTGGTGCGCGGTGTCTCATTGCGCTTACCCCGCAACCCCGGCTGAACATCAGCTCTATAGGGCCCCATCTGTGGTGGTCTATTGGCTCTTTGAGGCGCACGCAGAACGCTGCGCGCCGTCCGCTCGGGCCTGGTTCTGATTAGGCGGCGAGCTACCCTTACTCGCCGTCCGCAGACCCGTGCTTACGGGGGCCGGAGATCGTCTCTCGACTCACACACATACATATAGTAATAACCGTGTGAGTGAGGTTACCGGAGGCCCAATCCTTCCCCTCCCCCAATCCTTCCTAAATCCTCAAATCTATAAATCCCTAATCCCTAAAAGGTCGGCAACGCACTCGTAACTCCTCCGTTGCGGGTGTCCATGTGCGGCGCTGATTGCTTACAATCAGGTAATCCGTCTGCTCGTTTGCCGACTAATTACATAAAAAAAAACTAAAAAACAAAAACAATTGATATATTGTTAAGTTATGGAAGAGCGGGGTCTCCTAATGCATCTTTGCCTAAAACGATGCTCCAATCATAAACCTTTTTAACAATGAAAAATTGGGTCTCTAATAAACATTTTTGTATTTTTTTTATGAGCATTCTAATCAATAAGAAGTCATCTCTTACAGACAACCTTTGGTCCATACAAGCAGAACGGGAGAATGGACAAGCAGTAAGGGAGATAATTGAAAAGGATAGTCCACGGTCTACTAAATTTAAAATAAGCAATAAATATTGTTGGCGATCAAATAGATTTTAGTGATAAAGGGAAATTGTACTATTCTACAAGGTAAGTTTATAGTTTCGTATTTTTTTAAAATTTAAAAACGTATTTTGGTTGCCAGAAAAATCGAATTACAGATTTTGACTGCATGCCTACTAAAATACTGGACAACCTGCTCGGGTGCTACGTGTCGCGAGTTCTTCTTTTAAATTTTTGCAGTATTTTTTTCGACCTTTTTCAATTCAAAATTTTTCGTTCTGGGTCTGGATGTTATGCGTATGTGAATTTGTACATTTCTAACCACATCCACAACATAGAAACAAATCCCAGAGTAGGGCAAGGGTTTTTTTTAAAGTAATTTGGTACCAATATCACTTACAGTTAGAAATGCAAACGAAGCGGCTGGCAGAAGTTAGTCAAAAAAAGGGATATCAACAATGTCATAAAGAAATGAATCTACATAGACAGAACTACACTCTGTCGATGGAAAGCAAAACTTATAACTACCAACGTAGTAACCAATAAATCCGTAGCGTGGTGCGCTAATTAATTAGATGAAGTGATTAATACCGTCGGGTAATACGTTCGTTTAAACAACTTTATTGCCGACAGTGTACCAATCGATTCTCTGATGGCTTATCTCTATACAAGTTCTTTAAAAAAATATTTGTTTGTGAGATTTTTGACGTCAGTTTTGAGGGCTAGGAAAATAGTTTAAAAAAGCTTATTTATTTATTTATTCATTCTTTATATACAATTGAGTTTTAGAGGACTTAATGTTAGAAGCATTTTCTACTCGTATTCATTTCATCATCAGCCTATAAGTGCCCACTGCTGAGCAAAGGCCTCTTCTCATACGGAGAAGGTTAGAGCAATAATCACCACGCTAGCTCAATGCGAGTTGGCGATTTCAAAGTTATAATAAGAAATTATTAGTCAAGGTTTCCTCACGATGTCAGTGGTGTCAAAATAATCATAGAAAGTACATATAACTCGGAAAAAGTCAATTACCAGGTTTCGAACCCACACCATGCATGAGAAGCGGGCTCCTTAACCTCCGGGCCACCACCACATTAAGTCAACCAGAGGGTCATGCAGAGAGAGTGGTAGATGCAACGAGAAGAAAACTTGGAAACGATACACTTAAATTGCAAAATGCAAAAAAAATAATTATTTTAAAATATAAAATCTTTTATTATCAGTAAATTCGACATTAGCGTCACGAGGTGATAACGGGTATGAGAAGAATAACCCCAGGTGTGTATTTTAATTCCAATCTGCTTTGTGCAAGCATGTTTAAAGAAATGTTCAAACCTTCTCAGGCTGAGTAGGTGAATATCTTAATATTAAAGTTTTTTTTCTTATTTCAACGTGTTTTTAAACTGTGACTTGCAATTTGCTTGAGATCGAGATGACTTTTGAAATGAGTTCCATTTTCAAAATCTTGACATAAACAAAATAACTTTTTTCAATTATAATTATTTTTATAAAAAAAATCATAATAAACTGAAAATACCTACTTAATTAAGGTACATAAGTAAATAACAACGACAGCGTTGACTCTGGGACTTTAATTTAACGAAATTAATAATAATTATACTAATATAAATATCGTAATTTGGAGGCCATTTCCCGCTAAATAATTATAATAAATGTGATTAATCGCTGAATACTCGGAAACTTCAATTTATTTTTATTTACAAATAATTTTTCACGCATATTAAGACGTTCATCATATACAAACTAAGCATATTATTATAATAGACTGAAAATTCCTTTGGATTACAAAGAGGTAAAATTTGTAAGTTTGTATGTAGGAGGTGATCCTTAGAACCGCTGGTCGGATTGCCAAAATTCTTTCACTGATAGGTAGCTGCAATGTTCCTGAGTGCTATAGGCTATAAAACGTCACACTACGATCAAATGGAGCTCAGCAGCGAGTGAAAGGGCACGAGATTAGCTAGTAACTAAAAATTTTAAAACATTAAAAAAGATCAGAAATCCATTAGAAATAAAAACCAGCTAGTTAAGTAGCTTTTTTTAATAGAAAAAATCATCAAATGACTTGTCAGAGAGAGAAAGTCAGACTCTTACTCTATTTTTATTATCTTCTATGCAGACTCTTACTGACCAAAAACCAACTGTTCCTTCTCTTGCCCAAGGCTGGGGCAGAGAAATAATCTGATATAAAATAAAGGTATGTGACATACATACAATTATATAAAACTAGCTACTCTCGCGCGGTTTCACCCGCTGCTCGGCTCCATGTAAGCGTAGCGTGATGTTTAATAGCCTATAGCACTCAGAAACATTGTAGCTAGTCAGTGAAAGAATTTTGGAAATCCGACCAGCCGTTCCAAAGATTACCCCCTACATACAAACTTACAAATTTTACCTCTTTATAATATTAGTATAGAAAAATAAAATAAATAACATTATAAAAATACAATAACACAGCTTGAAATGTAAAGTTCCGAATTTCTATATCCTAATTTAGGTATTTCAGAGAAATATTTGAAAAAGGAATAATTTAAACTTTTTCGTATTCATTTGCAACATTTCAATCGTAAACAAACAAACCAATATATTTTTTCTTCATTAACGTTCTTAGTTTTAGTGAGCAATCTACTAATTTAGTTTAATGGATGAATTGCTATCTTAATTACAATGGTAGTTTACTATTATAATGTATAGAAAACTTTAAAGCTACTATAGACAGTAATATATATCTATCTCTATCTATTCATTACAGAATTTTTGGTACCGTATGAGGAATTCAATCCTAGTTACGCTGTTTTTTAATACATCGCAATATAACTTTTTCTTGCTGCGTTCCGTTATATTTAGTCTTACTTTTTACTAGTTATATTTATAAATAAATAATAATACCCAATTCTACTATTAAGACAAATTTAAAGGTATAATTATGAACTATATTAAATTAAAAAAATAAATTTATAAATCCTAGGTACTTTTAGAAACACAACACTTTAAATTACATTCTTACCGCACTTCCAATTAATAGCTCAAGTCAGAAAATATTGCAAAGACACGAACCTTTCTTAATATATAGCTGGTTTTGTAATAATTTGTAACACCCATTTATAATGGACGATGTGCCACCAAGAAGCCAATTTATAATCTACTGGTCTCCATTAAGACTAACGCGGTGTCGACAGTTTGACGGCTCTAAAATGATGGGGAAACTTAACGACCTCTACAAATTTAAATTACCTTAAGTATAAAAACTGAGAAAATCCACAGAACTCCAGTTTAACACACAAAAGTCACACTGAACACTGATTTAGTTCACTTTATTGAATTAAAAGTTGAAACTTTATTTGTTGTACGTTAGCGATAGCGACATGACCGCGAAAGTGTTCGTGCGTAGGGCGGGCGGCGCGGCCACCCGCTGCGAGCCAAGAAATGCTACTGGCCAGAAATACAACAGGAACAACGCACGTTGCGATTTTTAAAATTCATTTCAACATTTCTTAATATTCGAATATTGAATAATAGTTTTAAATGTTATTTTCTTTATCTCTGGCTGCTCTGCGTACATTTCCGAATTGCTGTAACGCGTCATCGTAAAATACTGCGTTATTAATTATTCTCAAAAGTCGGTTATGTTTTTTTTTTGACGTAGGCAACTACTATTGTTTTTATTGGAAATCGATTTTATTATATTCTCAGGATAGTTTTTCGATTATTAAGGCTTCCTATTACGTAATAATATCGAATATCACCTTGGTTTTTTTATGAGATATCTAACAAAAATGTCGTATTCAAACCTTTTTAGTCGTAGAATAAAATAATATGCCACGAACGCATTTTTATACACTTGAACTAGATCTTCTTGCTGTCTTCTAATGATCATGTCAGGTCGTGACATTTTTGAAGATACCGAGTTTTCAGAATATTTTTTAAACAAATATTTGTAGTATATTAAAGTTGTGTGTACTTAATAATTAATTTATTTTTATAAATGTATATTATGTCCTTGACTTTGGTAAGTTTCATTTGTGTTATCAAAAGTTTTACAAAAGGGGAAAGTGTGGACATTTTGTAGTCCAACAAAAATGTGCTAATGAGGATCGGTATTTACATTTTTGTGGAAAATTTAACAAGAGACGAAACTTTATGAATAATTTGTTTCTATAGTTAATTAGCTTGTACAAGTGGCTGTGATAAGCGAGATATAAGTTGGTCAAAAGTTGAGTTGCTTTGAAAATGATTTGTTATTTAAATAGGTAAAAGAAATGTGTTAAGTCGCGTCTTGGTGCGACAGAGGCATACATAATGAGTAATTTTACACAAACGTACTACGGCCAGGGTCTTCATGCATGATTTATTTAAAATTGTTGTCACTTACAAAGCGTTGGCCCTCGGGGCACGTGTTAGTGTCGCAACCTTTGACAATGCTGTACGGAACTTTAGCATTCTTTGGGCTTCGAACAAACGTTGCTACAAATAAACACAGGGCACAGGTAACCTCAATTTCGCAAACAGTGACCCGCTGGTACAGAGTCGTGAACTGGTGAACTTTGGCACGAATAGGTCGGCTCGAACCGAGTGATACAACGGCGGCAAAAACCGGCGTGAAGCGTTGTTTGTGTCGCTTTGTGAGTGAGGATATAAGGATTATTGTAATCCTCGAAACTCCTATAGTGTTGCGGGTGTCCATGGTCGCCTTTTGCTTACCATTAGGTAATCCAAGTGCTCGTTTACCGTCCTATCAAATTGTTAAATAACATCGATGGATCTACAACTATATCCTTTCGCAATAAAGTCAAAAATCGATTGAAATAAAAATACGTAGTAAGAATAAGTTCATTTGAATAGCTGAGGTACATTTTGATAGCTGCATTTATTTATTTTATCGCCCATTTACGGATTATTAACTGGGTTTATGCGTTTTAATACTCACTTAGAATAATTGCTGCGCTCCAGACAGAGGAAATTATGTTTTATCGCGTTATTAAATTTGTTGTAATTGAAAGTAGAGTTAGGTTAAATAGTATTTGAAAATAAATGATAATTAAGATTTAATTTACACTCTGAACATCACGAAATGAAACTATTATTTTTCACCACTTTTCTGTTGTGCTGTTTCCTTTGCTTGATACTCGTGCTTTTGCAACTCGGCCAACAAGACAGTTTGTAGATGGATATATGAATATTGCTACATACCACATCATTAACCTGTAAGTGTCCCCTGCTGAGCAAAGGCCTATTGTTTCGGTTTGGGCATTTATATTTAAAATCAGAAATTATAAGCCCTAGTTTAGTATTCCTACGGTGTTTTCCTTCACTGTTTGGTCAGTTTCTTCTAAATAAACTTAGAAAGTACAGTACATTGCGGTACTTTAAGTGCGGCACGAATGATGCCAAGGCCCCACTGAAAACCGGCGTGAGACAACCGCAGCGTTGTGTTTCGCCGGGTGAGTGAGGTTACCGGAGGCCAAATTCTTCGTTGCAGCTCGCAATCCCTACCTGACCCTAATTGTTACTCCTCTTGTGTTGCCTTTGCGGCCATGGGAGGCGATTGCTTACCATCGGGTAATCCGTCTACACGTTTGCCTTACTATCACATAAAAAAAATATATTACTCGACAAAACCGCGATACGCAACAAAAACATCATCACAAATCAACTGTAGCTGTAGTCCGTAGGAGTCAACATCCAAAACTTGGACCTTCACTCCAAAAAAAGAAGGTTTTCTATTATGCCGTTCCTCACTTCTCCATGATTTTTTTTTGTATATCTTAGGTCGCCAAACGATCAGACGGATTACCTGATAGTCATCCAAAAGTTACTAATAAGTGGGTTGTCGGCCTTTTGTGGGTTTGATAGCATGTTTAAAGCAACAGGTCTATAAGTGGGCACTGCTGTTTAGTTTCTTAGCTTTCTCTGATACCACCAACAAAAAAAATAACATGTTTTTTTTTATGTAATATGTCGGCAAACGAGCAGGCTGATTACCTCATTGTAAGCAATCAGCGCCACCTATGGACACCCGCAACATAGGAGCTACGAGTGCGTTGCCGACCTTTTAGGGATATTGGAGATTTAGGGATTTAGCAGGGATCGGGGCAGGGGAAGGATTGGGCCTCCGGTAACCTCACTCACATGGCGAAACACAACGCTGTGGTTGTTTCACGCCGTTTTTCTGTCAAGCCGTTGTATCACGCCGGCCGAGCCGACCCATACGTGCCGAAGCATGGCTCTGGCTCTGTTGATTCATGTATTTTACTTTT